TGCCTCGGGTTGTGACCAAATTCGGAGGGCGGAACGGATTGACCGGATTTACATTGAACCTTATGGGAAACTTTACCTCGACTTGAGACCAATTCGAGTTGCAACCAGAGTCACGGTACGGATTAAATTCGTATCCCGAGGTACCACTGTACAAGCAGGGAATGGCCCTTTGTAGTGATTGGTTCTCTGTGCAACTGGAAAAGCAAGAGGAAAATTCCACACTTTGATGTATTTCAGCAGCCGACGTAAACCCCATGGAACAACAGCCAGCCAAGAATTGCCAGTTGCCCCAGGCCAGGATGGATCTATTACTTGTTCTGCTTCTCTGTCTGCAGATACACTCGGCTGACTGAACTCATGATCTTGGTGCTTGATTTTGCGAGTAGCGTAATAATTAAGAGGAAAGAAGTCAGCCGTGCCTTTGATCATCATCTTCTCCCGATCAGTAAATTCAGGAGGCCGTGAGGACAGAGGACCTTGCTTCTTACATGCAGCAGAAATCTTAGATTTCATCACAGCTGGATAATCACCACTGAGAAAGATTGGGGTAGCAAACCAGTCCGAGCAAAATGCGATACGCCTCTTAGCAGCTTCCTGGTCAGCAAGGGAATTTGGACTGAAGGGTTCTGCCCAATCTGAGTTGAGTGCTACAGACACAAGTCCACCCTGTTTTTCCCGAAAGAGTCTACTGTAACTATGCCAAGCTGCAGCATGAGCCTTGATCATATTATGGGCTGCCAGATATGCACCAACACCAGGCATTGCAATACCTGGTGCTACCACACCCTTTTCATAGCCATACACAGCAACAACATGTGGTTCGTTAATGGTGACCCATAGCTTCACTCTGTCCCCAAAGGTCTTGAAACAAAACTGGGCATAAGTATTAAAAGCTTCCACTGTGGCATCTGATCTCCAGCCTCCTTGATCTTCTAAATGTTGAGGTAAGTCAAAGTGATACAGCGTCACCACAGGGGTCACACCAATGGAGAGCAGGCCATCTATCACTTTGTCATAATAATAAACTCCTAAGGAAGAAAAGACCAAAAGGTTGGTGAAACCTTCATCAGTATTTGTTTCTTTCAAGTTGCTTGTAATCACTGTATCTGTTGCACTCAACCATCATTTCTTGAACCTCCTCCCCACCCCAAAAATTTAGCCATTTAAAAACAGGCAGATCAACATTATTATTGACATATTAGAAGGGGTGAAATAGAGCCAACAATGTGCTTAATATGAGCACACTGATACATCCAGTGAAGAACCCTGGAAGAGCCCTGATGGATCAGGTCAAGAGTTTATCATTCTATGTCCCATAATAGCCAGTCAGAAGCCTATGAGAAACCCACGAGGCATATGAAGTTAACAGTTTTCAGACGGGACACAGTATGGGCACTGGTAAACACATTCTCCATGAATTTATCTAAACACCATTTGAAATCATCCAATACAGTACAATCACAATTTTAGGGGAGAGAGTTTTTTCTTGTTTGGTTTAGTTTTCTTACACTCTTTTTTTTCCCCGCTTGTATTCATTTATTGTTCTATCTAAAACTTTTAATAAAATTATTGGGGGGAAAATGAAGTCATCAAAGTAGGCAAACCTTGTGGAGGGAAATTTCGCAGGTTAGATGTAGGCTGGATGAAGTAGCATTTCTTTTATCAAGGAAGAAGGTGTGGATTTAATGTCAGGCCCAGCCCAAGAACAACGATGAAACAGTCCAGTCTAGTACAGTTCCTTTATTTGCTTACGCCTTATAGACAGAATCTTGCCAAACTAAATCTATACTGCAGCCATTAGTGGATATACCCTGGGAGATTCTAGGGAGCGGCTGTCCTGAATCTCTTACTCTTCTCATGCTCCCCCTGTGGACTGTGTTGCCTCTTATCTCCTTTCTCCTCCTGTAATGCATCCCTTCCTTCCTGATACCTTGATCTCCCACATCACTCTCCTCCTTGTAGATTCATTCCATCACATCTATTCTCCATAGTGCCCAAGCATAAGGCAAGAAACAATGGATGGAAGATTTACAGAGAGAGATTGAAACTCAAAATAGGGACGAATTTCTTGAACACGAGAACTATTAAACAGTAGAACAGCCTGCCTGCTGGAATCGTGAGCGTTCCATCATCAGAGGTTTTCAATCAAAGGTTGGGCAGCTATGTGTCTGGGATGGTCCAAGAATTCCTGCCCTGGGTAGGGTGTTGGACTAAAAGATCTTCTTTCTAACCCTATGGTTCTATGATGCTGTTTTATTACATATCCCCATGTTCACTTTTCTCCTAAACTAAAAAGCTTTGAAACCTTTTCTGATGAGGAAGTTACTCTGTTCTGCATCTTTTCAATGTCTACAATATTGTAATATGAGAGACTGCAGAGGGTATCAAAATAATTCAGATTTTTGATCAAGCCCCTGTCCTGTTTTACATGTGTGTAATGAGTGTGATGCATGCTTAAAAAGGTGGGGCTTTGATTGCACAGTTGACCCACCTTCTTGACATTTTTGACACTGCCCTGCAGAGACCCCTCATGAGAAGCTTCATAAAGAGCAAGGTACTGTTTAAGGAATTTTAGAGAGATATGGGCCTGCAACCAAACTTCTCTTTTAGCAGATGAATAACCCATAGACTTGGACAATAATTTATTTATACTGCAGGTGGTATTATTGCTATTATTGTTATTATTACTACTACTTTATTTATGGTCAGCTGTATAGTATGCTGAGATAAAAAAAGCTAAAAGGGGGAGGAGCATATATTTATCCTTCAAGTTAACAGTTCCAGAGCTAAGCCAGTAACTATGCTTGCAACCATACCTGTTGAACAGAACTTATCAACCTTTCTAGAGTTGTCTACAGATAGATCAGCTAACAGTAACTATGTGTTCTCTTCATTTGCCTGGACAGTTGACTAACAAAGGTGTTATTAAGTCCAGGTATTACACTGGATAAAATGGACAATACAGTAAGATAAATGAGACAGGTTAGGTCATTTCTTCTGAAAAGATGATCCTATAAAAGGATATTATTATAACTCCCTTCTAAAACCATAGATGACAGTGCACTGATCTAGCCCAGGAGAAAGCAATTCTGTGTACTCAATAAGATTTTAGTAAAGTAGTTGGCTGGAGCAAAACGTTTTCTGAATAATCCTCCTTTATTAAAATATGGGGTTATACTCTGGTCTTTCTAGAGATCAGAGTGAAGAAGGTCCCAATGAGGTCAGTAATTTGGCTGAGAGGCTGCAGTATCTAAGATCTGAGTCTACACCCTTCTTCTACAAAGGTGAAAAATTATCTACAAGAAATAAGGGGGCCAAAGATTCTCATAAAGATCAATTTTAATCAAAACTTTAGGCAGCAGAGTCTCATACAAGCCTTTGCAGAAACTAGCCCTGCTTCTAAGAGCAAAATAACATTGGGAACCAATCAGGAACCATTAAAACTTCTAAAGATAACAAATGTTTGCAATTAGTTCTATAACTGATTTACACTGAAAGTAAATGTAAGGTTGTTTCCATCTTACACACACATAGCTACCGCCTGATAATTGAATTAACAAGTGTGAACAATAAAAATCTCAAATGTGACCATATACAAAATGGGGCTTGGTCTGATGATTGATTTGTTGTTGTTTAGTCGTTAAGTCGTGTCCGACTCTTCGTGACCCCATGAACCATATTGCGCC